ATCTTTGTATCATTTAGGTACATCTTGCGGTCTAACTTTCCACTTTTTGCGGAATCGCAGTAGCAGTCCGATGCAATTGATATTTTCGGCGCCATCCATGTCGCAGTCGAGATACGCAAATCCCAACTGTTGATTTGCTTACTGTCACTCTTTGCTGCATGCAACATTTGTTTCGTCGCCTCTATGGCATCTAATTTTACAATCTTCGGTTGGCTGTTCTTCATTGCATAACTCTCTCTGTTTTGTAGCATAGCATTCTTTCTGGCTTTTTTGCCCTAAAATTGAGCTAAAACAGTTTCTTCCGTCTCGATATAATGCGGCAAGGTCGTTTAACTAAGTCTTGGTTGCTTTCGGAATAATGAGTTCCGCTATTGAAAAAGATTAGTGCTCTTCTCTATTTGTGGATATCTTGAAGTGCAAATATCTACTTTTCAACCAGTTAGTAAGACTTCGGATTTACTCGGGGGTTTAAAACTTGTCGCTAAAATATGAGCCAATCTTTCAGGTGCCTCTTCGCAGTTCAACTTGCGACAGCCTTGGTCACTGCCTTTTCCACTGGTTGTGGTAGTTGATGACGTCAGAGATAGCTGAGCAAAAGTTGTAGTGGAAGTAATGCTCTGAAAAAATAGAGAACGTTAGCGCTTTGAGGGGATAACAACAAAAAGTTCAATACAGTTTTTGGTGATTTTGTAGCACAGTGTACGGCAATAACTGCTTTGCCTTTACCTTTTAAGTCAGTAGGCAGCGATGAATGCGTAGCACTCATCTCTCGAAGGGTGGTTTCTTCAACAGCTCTTACCCTATTCTTATCGCTGGTGATAATTTTTAAGCAGGATTTATTAGCTGCATATCGCTCCGGAGGTATTAAGTAAACTCAAAATTTTTCAACAGTCTTAAATGATTAATTAGGAATAAGTTCAAGAGCAGAGACCTTCTGAAATTCTTTAATAAATTTGTGAATACGATTTTGTACAGGAACCGTTGAAAGAACAGTTTCTTTGTTCGTTTTGTCTAGTTTGACTTACTGTTCAGCAGCTTCAAAGTAACCAGGGCTGAGGATGATTACAGCAGCAGAGAAATGTAATAGAATTATAACTTGTATTTTACAAATTTAGAATTAACTTACTGCTTAGAAATAAAGGCAAAGATAAGTACAGCAGCAGCAGCAATAAAATAATGTAAAGCGCTTGTCTGGTATATATTGGATTCAGCAAAGACTAGTTGCCTTGCGATAGGCGCATTCTGTAGCTCACTCGGACAAAATTATTTGTTCAGTTCACTGAATAGTTAATTAGAAATATTTCTGCCATTACTCATTTCCTGACCGGCGGCTCTATGTAACAAAAACAACGAATCTCCTATTTTGTTAATAATTTATGCTATTTTGAAGTAACCGTAGAAAGTGTAGGAACATGTGCAGAGCCTCAAATTAATTAAACTTTTATTACAGAAGGAACTCAACAATTAATTATAAAAATACTAATTTATGACACATACTAACAAGTATAGCAAAAATAACGGTTGATGATAAGCCAAACCAAAATTGAAGAAAATAAAACAATTAAAGTTACAGAAAGGAAGATTAGCAGGTGAGTATTATGAAAGTGCGTCACTGTACAATGGCTCTTCTCTCTTCAACGATTCGTTCAAGCTGATCAACTTTTGCTAAAATGCAAGTTCTAGCTGCTTTATGATTGTCTTTTCAACTGCGGGTGCTAGTCAGTTCTCATTAGCTATGCTACTTGTGGCTTCCGCATTAGCCGAGATGTTTAAAGCATTTAGTTATATCAGCAGTTTAAGCTACAGCAAGTGCATTTGAGATACCCATTTTTGCGACTTCATGAATGCTAAGTATCCTTGCCTAAAAATAAAAAGTTAATTTTGTTTTTGACACTTCAGGGTTTGGAAAATCTAATGCGTATTGCGCTGTGGTAGT